ATTAGTCACCCTGTTATTGGTGATCCCTTCGTCGTTGGTGTATTTTCCGGCTTCGGCAAACCCGAACCAGTCGACGAGTTTCTTCATGACTGTGTTTGCGAACTGAAAGGACTTCTAGATGGTGGCCTGCGACTCCCAGGTAGAGGGGCTATTGTAAAAGTGGAGGTAGCCAATATAATTTGCGATGCCCCTGCCCGCTCCTACATCCGCCAAGTCAAGGCACATAACGGATACTATGGATGCGATAGGTAGGTTTGTTCATCTAGCTAACCTAAACCACTCTATGTGCTGTCATGTAGGAATTCCCATAGCTAACCGGATGACATTTCCGCCATATAGTGGGCGTCCTCGCGACGATATGTCATTCCGGTTGCGAAAGCAGGCCATGCACCATCGGGGCATATCACCATTCGAGGAGTTACCCATCGATATGGTTGCCTGCTTTCCGGGAGTAATGCGTAAATTGCTGCACATGTGGCGCCTCGGGGTGAAGAAGTTTTCTGCGGCGCTCAATGCGCGGATTAAACAGTGCAGCAATTGTCTACCGGCAGAATTTGCTCGGAAGTGCCGCACTCTGGATTGTCTGGAGTATTGGAAGGCGGCTGAATTTCGGCAATTTCTCCTTTACATCGGGCCGGCAGTTTTAAATTCATTTCTTGACCAGCAGCGGTATCAGCACTTCCTGAAGTTGTCTATTGCCATGTATATATTTTCTCATCCCCGGTTACACATTACGTGCATTGACTTTGCACGCATCCTTTTAAATGGCTTCGTAGAAGACTTTGGCAAGCTGTACAATCCAGCTGACCTGGTTTACAACGTGCATTGTCTGGTCCACCTTCACGAAGATGTATCGCGGTTCGGAGTGTTAGACAACTTCTCGGCTTTTCGCTACGAGTCGTTTCTGCAAAACGTCCGCAGTTACATTAAAGGACCGACAAACGTAGCCGCGCAGGTGTACAGGCGCATTAGTGAAAGGCGCCTGCCTGAGTTGTCCACAGGTCCCACGCTGTTGGACGACGATGAGGGAGTTCCACGGTCTTTGCAGTTGCCCCGCAGCTCTAAGGCCATATTACACAACGGGTATCTTTTGTCGACCCAATCTCCTGACAATGTGGTACTTGTCGGCGATAGACCGTGCGTACTGACATCTGTGTCGCCTACAGGCATAGTTTACCGCCAGTTTGTTGATTGCCAAGACTGCCTGGATCCTGCATTCCCTTCCTCAAATTTACTCATTTTTAAGGCCTCCCTTTTGGACAGCAAACTTTCGAATGCTTCTCTTGATGACATTATTTGTAAATACGTTGCGCTACACCTGGACGGTTGTTTTTACCTTATTCCCATGTTGCATACTTTTTGATTTTTGATCTCCCACTTTTTCCGTTTTGCATCTCATAGACATTTTTCGATTTTACATTTTGTGGACACTGCTTAAAGATGTATGCGGTTGTTGAGTTTGTGAATGATAAATCTGTGGCGGCCGTGCCGAAGTGTTGGTTCCACAGCGAAGACTGTGTGATGTGGGTTAAGAACCACAAGCTACGTGACCGTCTACTTGTGAACAACGAAAGGCCTCCAGAAGGCACAAAGATTTACCCGGTCCGTGTGCTGAAGAATGACCTCTCACTCGACAGAGCACTTCAGCTGGAAAAGAAGGCTGTAGACACTGACGATCTTTCCCACTCAGAGCCTACCGAATTAGGCCGAGGGATGAGGAAAAGGTAAGTGTTTGCTTTTCATTAATTTATCTTTGTAGGTTTGTCCGCCAGCTCACCTCAGACGACGACGAGGATGATGATGATGATGAAGAAATGGCTGCGCAAAGACCAAGACAAGATAATCAATTAACTGCCTGGCCTACGCCGCCACGCATTCTCCAGTAAGAATCCGTGTATATTATGCCAACTTTTAGACCACGCAATAGCTCGGAAAATACACCTTGGTGGAGAGACTCCAGCCAACCTACGCCACCAAGGGCTAATCAGTACGCCGTTTCTTTTAAAGTTTACTTAAGGCCGCCTCGGGAACCCAGCATGACCGCGTTTGACAAACGGTTATCACAGGTGCAGCACGATGGTGAATGCGTCCGGTAAGACTGTTCTGACTCTTGATGACATGCGAGTAGAAAGAAAGTTGATTACGTTGCTGAGGAACTCGTCGAACTACGGGCTGACATAACGCAGGTTAAGGCTACAATGGCCGAAATTTTAAAGGCCGTTCAGGAATTACGTCTGCCTGCTGAAGCGAGACCTCCTTCACTGAAGTTGCCTCTGTGTACGAAGGAGGCTTACAAGGCTTTCGTCAGTGAGCTTGAGAAGAATGCTAGTTTCGCTCAAGACGCGGTATGTACATTTACTGACACTTCTTTATTTGAATGGATTGTAGATTAAACGTCTGTCGATTACAGACAGGCGAAACGAGAAACAGTTTGTCAGAAATCTACTGACCGCTCTACTCGGCCACCCCCTATGCCTCAGTTTCTGCTGGGGCGGAGCAAGAGATAAGCAGGCCTTTGTCGGCAGCCCCCTTTATGGCCTTGTTATTGGTATGATATTTATTTTTAAGATTACTTGTTCAGCTGCAATTCGTGAACACGCTGCCTTCTCAAATTGCACCGTTGACACAATTCGCAAGAGTGCAATTGATTGGTTCCACGGCGCGCGTGACAGATACGGTGGCCGATCAAAGCGGAGAGACAATACCACTGCAAATGCCACGGTAAATTAATTGACTTGAGTCTTTATAAGCCACTTTCAGCTTCCCGTCAGCTACAGCTCAGCCGAAGAATATATGATACAATCTACTTCCGAGGACACTGTAAGTGAGCGTTTCTTTATATCTATTAAACCTGCATTTATTCGAGCCTATCAACTTCAAACTACTTAGATCATAAAATATACTACTAAAATGCCTTATTTCAATAGTATGTTTTTTGACAATTTAATTAATAGGACGCTGTGCTTTATTTTATTGTAGATACCCGCCACCGACATGGACGGATTACCAGATATGTCCCTTGAGGAGACATGACTATTTGTACGTATCAAATTTTCATCTTTATCGATCAATAAATTTTCTTTAACTAATAAATGCCGTTCAAGTGTGCTGATGGATATGGTTCGTTGGGGGGTTTGCAATCACGCGTGAAGGTCCGCTAACGGTCGCGGGAGATATTGGCTTTGGGAAGGCGAGCCGGAATGAAACATGACATATTTGGCGAAATGGGGTTCGCTAGAAGGTAACAAAGGAATAAAATAGGACAGATACCGGGGAAAATCTGTCTAGGAAAAGGGTGATCAGGATTATAACGCGAGTAATTAGACGTTAATGGATCGGTATTACGGTCAGACAGTCGAATATGGCCATGGGTGGGGGCAAAAAACGATAACTATAAGGCGTCCCCCTGCGCATTTTTTTTTGTCCATGAGGGGGCCAGAGGGGGCCACATCGGGGATTTGCCCCGCCATAGCCCCCTCTCCAGCCCCCTCATAGTCCCCTCTGGCCCCGCCATAGCCCCCTCATGAGGCGGGGCCATGAGGGGGCCAGAGGGGGCTGGTGCTGGCAGGGAATGATGTTCATAGAAAACATCAGCAGATGTTCCCGCTGAATGGCCTCAATGGGCATGTAATGAAACTTTTTTAATGTACGACGAATAAAATCGTCGTCTTGCTTACTTGTGGACCGTTTTGGTCCCCCTATCTTATTTCTAGGAACAGTTTTATCATTAATAATGCGCCACAGAGTGACCTTGCTAAGATTGAAAATACTAGCTAACGACTCACGCGGGATTCCCTCCGCCGCTAATTTTCGAATGCGCTGGAAGTCAACTTCGGATAAGTATTGTTTAGACATAGTTATCGTTTGGCGTGGCAGAGCAAAGTGACGGCATGTCTCGCGAACTCAATATATATTCGTTTACAACACGCATTTTCAGTCTGGTAAAACAATCACACTGATAAACTTTTTTATTTCGGTATTTTGAAACATAAAACTTTACGAATTTGTAAAATAGAAATTTTAGATAAAGAATCGCACGTTATTTCCTGAACACAATAAGAAATAATTTATCTGCATTTCCCTGATTTTGTTGATATTGAAATTTAATTTTTTCTTTTTGTTCGAAAGTTTATTAAAAAATTTCGTCCTTTTATTAATCTTCTTAAACGGATTAATAAGGTTACACAAAGAATTTCCATCCGAAAGCTTTAATAGCGTAGGAAACTGCTTGAATATCAGGAATCCTCCGATTTCGCCTTAATCCGGCCCGTTTTCTATTTAATATACAGATCCGTATCAAACTTTCCTTCAGAAAACGGTCTTTTCGTCCTTATTTCAACTAAATAAACACAAATAACGACACCAAAAATACACTACATTGTCCACTATAATTTTGACCTCGGCATTTCATGAGTTAGCACAGGTACTGTATAGTGAGTCATGTGAAAAACAAGCTGTCTGCACATTTAAACTGCACAATTTTAAAGAACGACCCTGAGCCTTGTTGATCTTGACTGCGAACGCCAATCGAACCAGTAATTGCACTTACCTAAATTGATAAGTTATATCGGCCGGAATCAGTGGAATGTGGGAATAAGGACATGCACACCTTCGAAGGGTCCTGTCAAGATAGTGGCTTTCACGACGTTGCTCATCATGTTTTTACTGCAGGCCACGTGCCGTTGCTAATCTTTGGCTCATTGATATTGCGCAACATGATAATTGGCACGCCGAATTTCAACATCAATACATGCTGCGGCCTCCCTGGCAAATCAAGTAAATTAACAAAGTCTGTTGCATAATTACCTGCCCGTCTGCTTCCAAAGAAGTGTCGACGGAAGTGTATGTGACTGCCCCACTTTGAATCCTAGACTAAGTAATATGGATAAACTGGTACACATCTTTGTTCTTGGCCGCAAGAATAGCTCGTTCGCTCAGCCGATGGTGATTGATGTAATTGGCAATGGTATAGAGGAGGACCCCAATTAACTGTCAGTAGACTGTGGATCGTGACATATGGGGCTTTATCTTGGCACACATTTGCAGGCTGTTGGAGAAATTACGCTGCCAACAACGATTAATTCCCACGACCTCACACCTTAAATGAAAATCCGTTATTTTGTGAAATTTACTTTTTGTGTATTGTTTAATTACTACTCTCATTTCCGTTGTCGTACAAGAAAGAAAAATAAGACTTTCAGCATATATTCATGCAATTTTATGTTTTCATTCCTTTTCTCAGCCTTCTGTCTAGCGTGCTGCCAAGCCCATAAAACTCCCTTTACCATAAATCACGTATAGCACGATCGGCAGTCTACTGACAGTTAGTTCTGGTCCTTCTCTATACCGTTGCCGTGTAATTGGTCTGAAAAATGAGAAACACCTTGTCAGTAAATTCTCCGCTTGAAGACACTAAATTTTTAAAGGTAAGATGTAGGGAAATGAGTCCTGAAGTCGGACCAACGGGTACCGTTCCTTTCGCCACTGCCAGCTATTGGGTGTGAAAATATCACCGATGATCTGTCGTTTTGCCCCTTGACCCGCATATTTGCGGTTGATTTTACCGTCTGGGCTTGACATCACAAAGGAGAGTACTTAAATTTTGTTATTATTTTCCCTTAGAACTGAGGTTTTTTTAACTTAAAACAAACTCTCGATTCGCGCTCTTTTGGCTAACCAGACACCCGAAGCAAATGAAGTCAAAGTGCAGTTGAAATTGACGAGTTTGTTTTAGGTTTTTTTCCTGAGTTCAAAGGGGACTGACAGTGCCCAAGGGGCGCTACAATAAACCTATTCTATTCTATTCTAAAGTAGGCTTTTATTGGTCACCTGGTGTCGATCGAGGAATTACAGGCACTGTTTGCCTCAAGTCTCCTGCAAGCAACAGCAATGCATCTCCAAATAGTCTGGTGTTTCCGCGTAAATCTTGCAGTGATCGATCAAGTGCGTCGAGCGTTTTCTTGTGTGCCACTGTGCATTCATCCCAAACGATAAGTTTGCATTCTGCAGTACCTTTCTCATGCCGGATACCTTGCACAGCGTTTGCGTCTTTTGAATTCGGTTTGAAATTTTCGACCTCCGAGGGACTCACCTTTTCCGAGTCTCCTGAGTACTGGACACCCTGACGGCCTGTCGGAATCAACAAATCGATTCTTTATAGCAATATCTCGATTCTCACAGCATTGCAACGGAAGTTTCGTCCGAAAAACCTATCTCCTTCCGAGCACGTCTCTGACAACCGCACTGCGATATTCCCCAAATATAAGAATGGCTGAGTCGTTTGCCATTTATTTCATACCGTTGGTCTGGCTTAAAGTCGTTTCCATACCGTTAAAAACGTTTTAAGTTTATTAACTTAATAATGGTAGTCGATCAACGGTCCTCCAGACATTGAGCAAAGATTCCACCTCGGGCCGGGTTCTAACCTGGCACAAGAGTAGCACCGAAATTGTCTCTACCACTGCGCCATTGACGCACAGCAGGCGGCCCGACAAAAATGATAAAATAACCGAAAGACGCTGTACAAATGACTACTGCGATATGTCTCCTTCTGTCAAGTCATATCCCGCTAAACGCGCAAGGAGTCTGATAACTTTATTCGATGTTAAGTACGAGGACGATATCTGCGCGTCATGTTTCAGACTTCTTCGGAAAATCTTGGAGGTGGAGAAGGATATGAGGAATCTAAGGATTGAGATGGAAAAGCTGATGAAACTTCCTCACCATTCACCCGAAAGGAGAGATATGGCGATGTCGGAAATACAGAAGATGACCAGAAAAACTGCCAATACGACTTCAGTAACTGTATAAGCTCCTGAAAAAGAAGACAGCCCGTCTACGGACCTTATCACAACCGAGAACCCGTCTCATGTGTGAGAGAGAAAAATTACCAAAGGGCATCTCAAAAAACAAGGAGACGTCTCAAAGCA